GCTGAAGAAGAGACAAAGCAAAAGGAAACCAGCTAGGCACAGTGGTGCACACCTGTAACCCCAGCTACTTGGGAGGCTGAGACCAGGAGGATCATAAATTTGAGACCAGACTGGGCAACTTTGTAAGACACTGTCTCAAAGTAAAATAAATTTTAAAAGGGCTGGGAATGTAACTCAACCTTCCCTTTCCCTGGATTCAATCCTCAAGAAAACCAAGGGGAAAAAAATGAAAAAGGAAAAAAAAAAACCTGAAGAAAATTCTCAGTAAAGCTTATTGCAGAAACTTCTGCAAACCTCAATAAGCTTCTCAAAATTTGTGAAAATATAGACCCCTAATATCAAAGGTTTCATTAGTAAAGGGGAATGTTCATGTGCTTTATTTGCTTACAAGCAAATCTGTGATGAAAATAAAAAGGAGGCCAAGCAAATTTCCAAGAGCCTATTTCTGCAGGGTGAGATCTGACCAAGAAGAGCCTCAGCAGATATGGCAGGTGGGATTCAAGAAGGCATTATTTTCATAGTGTATGACAGCTTCATGTACATTGTGTCCCTGAAGACCTTTAGAGAATCAACATGTGCAAGTGAAAGAGTGGTATCAATGATCTGGACCTTGTGTAGGTATAGACTTAAACAGGTGTTTGTATCTTACTCTTTTTTTTTTCCAGTACTGGGAATCGAACTCATGACCTCGCGCTTGCCAGGCAGGCGCTGTGCTGCTGAGCTAAATCCCCAGCCCCTGTATCTTACTTTTTCAATGAGTTTTAAAAGTTTAAAAGTCAATTTACCATAGAATAGAGCTAATAGAAAAAGAATATAAAGCATCTTGCACAATTCAATCATGTGTTTATGTTTTATGTTATAGTATTATTACAAGAGTAAAAGTTTTTAAAATTAGAAAGTTTATAAAAGAAAAACACTTAAATAAATTTAGTGTAGCCTAGTGTTCAGTTTATAACTACAGTTGTGTATAGTAATGTCCAAGCTCTCCACCCCTTTTGAGTCACCCACAGCAACTTCCAGTCCTAAAAGCTTCATTTACAGTAAACATCCTACAAGGTGTACTACTTTTTATCTTTTATATCTTATATTTACTATATATTTTCTATGTTTAGGTACAAAAATACCTAAAAGTTGTATAATTGCCTACCATAATGAGTACAGCAATATTCTACATAGGTTTGCAGCCTAAGAAAAATAAGCTATCTCATATAACATAGGTGTTTAACATCTACTTTTGTGTAAGTACATTCTATATTTGCATGGTGATGAAATTGCTTAGCAACATATTTCTCACAAGAGATTCTTGTCATGAGGCAAAACATGGCTTTATTTAAGAACTCTAGGGGGTTATAAGTCTAGTGCAGATATGGAATGAGAACACTACACAGAGGTATATGAATATGACAGTGATTTATGAAACGTATATGTCCTAGAAGAGTCAGGCATAAATTACCATACAAGGCCCATATGAAAGGAATGCCACAGAAGTGGGCTCAGACAGGCTGCTGAGAGCTGAGAGAAAAAGCATAGATGAATGCCTTTATTGGGGGCTAAGGTGCAGTATACTAGCAGAAGATATAAGATTTCACTAGTGTGTTTAGCTATCACCAGGTAGTAGTCAAGGGAGAAAAGATGGGGAACTTGTAGCAGGGACAAATCTGCAACTCACTGGCACATACAGTTACTGGGTAAAGTGCTTTCAACCTGTGCATGGGGTTGTTAAGGCATCTGGAAAGTATGTAGTTTTTAGGATATGTAATACAGACTGACAGCTAAGCACCTTTAGTTGTGAGCCCTACCAGTAGCTGAGTAAATCCTTTGTTCCTCCTGTAGAGCACTGATGGTGAACATTTTAGAGACTGAGTACCCAAACTGCACCCCTAAACCCATTTATTTATCACAAAGTGCCAACACTGCCAACAGTGCCAACACTGTTATCCAATGTTTGGTTGCTGGAATGATGCTGGGGTGACGTGGCTCACGTGCTGTCAGAGAGGTTCTAGGCATTGCATACAAACCATGGGCTCACCACCATCACTATAGAGGGTTATCTTGGTGAATGTATCACAATGTACACTAACGTTCAACTCTTGTACTGTTTGGATGTACTTCTTTATTTAAGCTCTGGAAGCAACTTCAGAATTTTAAGGAATCATTTTTCCTAGAGGTATCTTAGAGAAGGAAGGCAAATGAAACAAACTATAGAAACTGGCAGGCTTGGACTATAAATGACATTTATCATTATACTGAGCTACTTTCCATTCTAAATTCCTCTCAATCTAAACTGGTATGCCTACTATCTTGGTTACTTTTCTCTCATTGCTGAGAAAAAATACCTGACACCCAGAATTAAGGAAGGAAAGGTTTATGTAGCTCACAGTCTGTGGAGGTTTCAGTCCATACTCGGCTGGCTCCAAGGCAGAGTAGCACATGGCAGAGAGTAACTGTTCATGGCCTCGAAAGATAGCAAAGGCAGCAAGAACAAAAGGGACAAGTGGCTGCAAGCAGCCTCTTTCTCCCCCTTACATATGCAAACTATCCACCCCAGGGTGAGTATAGCACTCACACCCATAATCACAGCATTGCACTATGGATCAATCAAATATCTAGAAGCCCACTCCATGACTGCATGAGGATTTGGGGGGACATGAAGACACAAACCATAACACCTACTAATCTCCATGACATGTCTGGTAGCATAACCAAGATCTTAATCCAAAAATCTTCATACTCACCCATGCTTTCCCTCCTTGAAACAAGATGTCAATCATGGCTTACTGTTCACTGAATTCTGTTTGTATCTTACTGGAAGTATTCCCCTCTGAAAAACAATACTTCTAAACCCTCTGACCCAGAGTTACTGAGAATAAAACTCCTTAAGTAAACTACTGAAAATAATGGTAGCTGGGCCCAATATTATTTCCAACTTTTGATCCCTAGACCAATGTATTCTACCTACTAGGACCATATAATATTTGATCTTGGAGTTCAGCCCAGACTTGCAAGGTATTAGCTCTGTGCTGACATTTCAGTAGTATCTTCAACAGGCTGTTCCTTCAAAAGATTTTCCCATCATGCTCTCATACAGCTTCTGAGTAGTGTAGCATGTAATACGAGTAGGGATCCATCCCATGGTCATGTCCATCCTTTTGTAATTTTTTTGATGTAAAGAGCAGTCCTATGCTGTTACAGCAAACATTTTTTACACCTTAAAATAGTGGTTCAACCTAAGAACCTGCAGACAAGGAAAGCAAATCCATGCTATATATATATATATATATACACACACACACAATGGTACCTTGGGTCACAAACTTTATTCTTTGCACAATTCTGGTTGCAAACTGAATTGGATGAGAACTGAATAAAATTCAATGGTTAGGTTAAATATAACCTCATGGGGAATTCTGATTCAATTCTCATCCAATTTTGTTTGCAACCAAAATCACGGCCCTTCTATGGTGGAAGAGGCTCAATATAGTTAGTTTCTCCAGAGATAGCATCATGCTGGGAACTAAGCATGGTTGACTGTGAAGAAAAGATTTAGTGCTTAGCAACAGCACTAGTAGCCTTGGTAAATCTGAGCTCATGTTGTCAAGTCCCAAATCTCATCTCTATCCTTGTTTCCATCACTAATTCATTTGTACAATTGTACCTTTACTGTGATCATAGACTGCAATGAAAGAGGATAGTAGTCAACTAGATAGTTTTGGTCTAAGTACTTGTTTAGTTACTTTTTTATGTTCATTGCTCTTTTGTAGGTATTAAATTCAATCTGAAGATCTCTAGATTTTTTTTTGTCCACACTCTGGACTCCAGTCTTACGCCTTTCTATCTCAGGCTACTTTGTCTCCAATCCAACCAATTTTTATCATTTCATATCTTTGACCAACCAGCCAAGTTATTCACCTCTGTTCCTAAGCCTTTGTGTATCTTGGACTTGGGCTATTTCTCTTGCAACACAAGGGAATGGACAAATATACCTCTTAAAAATCTTCCCATTAAGAGAATATTCCCTGATCACTTCTAAGCAAACAAAGTAGGCCGGTAGTTCAATCACATTATCATACTGACCCATCCATGAACCAAATATGTATCGTTTTTTTCCTTCACCAATTGACCACCCATGAAGTTATGAACTAAGGGAAAGGCATCCGAGCAGTAGTAGTGGATGACATGGGAGAGTCCACGGTACCATTTTATGTAGCTTGCTTGTTTCTTCTAGTCTTATTTGAGCTGAATCCTACATGTAGCACTTCCATTTTATGACGGATTATTGCTGAAATTGCCTGCCTTTACAACATGGTTGATCTGATAAAAACGGTGATTGACAATTATCAATACACTGCTAGTAAATACCTCCAGATAGGACCTGCAGACTCACTGCGGGCAGCTCTCCTTGAGGGCTTAAACCGTTCGTGGACCCCCTACTGGAATAGACTAGATCCGTCCCTGGCATCAAAGTACCTTGTAATTGAGCGTCAAGAAGTAACAGCCCCGCCCCACTAAGCCCTTCACCCCACAGACCCAGGCGCCGCACCCGGCTGCGGACCGCAGGAAACCAGCGCCTGAGCAAGCGCCGCACAGCTCTCAGCCTTGTCTGCGTGCCCGGTGCGGGGGCAGCAAAGAGTGGAGAGACTGCTCGAGTCACTACCGTTTCTTCACCAGGAACCGCACTGGTCAAGCTCAGGGTTCTTTCCTCCGCCCATCTGTGGTTGCTCCTCCCAGGAAATTACCAAATTCTCTCCGAGGCGGGATGAGGCTTTCAGACAGCAAGTCTTGACAGATAGGAAAAATAAACTCTATTACAGAGAACATTTACGGTCTACCGATTCAGGCATCAGACAGAATAAAAACAGAGCGTCCTCTTGTTTAACTCATGCTGAGTCTTAAGGCAAAGAAGACGTCGTACTTTCCTATGCTAGTGAAAATTAGAGCTTTTATCGATCAGCAAGGACCGACACGGCGCATGCGCGAGACTTGGAGGCCGTAAAGCACGCGAGAATACCCAGCAGTCCTGTGCGCCTCGGCTGTCGGGCGAATTCCTCGCGGGTCCCTCAGCAGCCGCCATGGGGAAGGTAAATGTGGCCAAGCTGCGTTACCTGAGCCGGGATGACTTCAGGGTTTTGACCGCGGTAAGGACTCTGCCTTTCCCCTTCTCTCTTGTCTCTTCCTACGCTGCGTCCTTTTCCTGTTTGCTGAGGGCAGAGCGGGCGCGCTCTGTTCCCTGGGACATGGCAGAGACTGCCGTGAAAATGAGGGATTTCCTTAAAGAGCTCTGTAGAGTCTGATCTTTTAAAAGCTTTTGTTTAAGAGCTTATCGTTCCCACAAGTACAGCAGAAACACCCTCTTTTAATTGTTTCCTTCCTTTGGGCCGCCCTTCTTGAGCTTGGGGGACATTTCCATTTCTCTGGCTTGGGAAACTTCTCTGACCCCGGGCTTCCCACCCAGCAGAGGTTTAAGTCCCCTCCTGAGGAGAGTTGTGTGTAAACTTAGAGCATTAAGTTACCCACTCTGAAACTCCGTTAGGTAGTGTTTCTTCCATTCATTCAGCAAACACATATGTCGGATTTTTATAGCAATTTCGGGAAATCCGGCAGGGTGCAAAACATGAGGAAGAAGATACTCCTTCATCGTCAAGTAAACGAATGAACAAACAAGATATCATCGGACAATAAGTGCTATGAAGGTGACAAAGGATAATGAAGTAGAAAATAGGTGCATTGCATGAAGGAATAGGAAGGCGGGTTGCGAGAATCTTGTCTGTTTACTGTGTAACCGAAGTTTACCTGCTTTTTTTTTTTTTTTAAGTTACTGGCCCTTGGCAGACAGTGAATAAATAATATTAGCTAAGTGGAAGAATGAACGGGAAGCAGCTGCATAAGAAGCCAGCCCAGTGATGTCTTTGGAAAGATATAGAAGTAGGGGCGATAACTGTAAGTTGTAAAAGCCCTGAGGAAGGAAAGTCTTTGAAGAAAAGTCAGAATAGCTGGAGCATAGTAAGACAATCACTAATGGAAATGGAACTGGGAAATGTGAGAGCTAAATCATGCACTTTGCTATTCAGGCTTAGTAAATATAGCCGTGGAAGCACTGAATGTTTTTAATGAAGGAGTAGCAAAATCTGACTTTATAGTCTTAGTCTTATAGCAAAAAAAAAAAAAAAAAAAACGTTATATACTTATAGCTAGCCATTTGCAGAATAAATCAGAACACTTATTTAAGAGCCATTCTCTTTTAGTAAAGAGAGCCCTTGATAAAGAATATAATGTGGAGTTATAGAACAGTATATGTAGGGGCTGGGGATTTAGCTCAGCGGCAAAGCGCCTGCCTGGCAAGCGCAAGGTCATGAGTTCCGTTCCCGGTACCGGAGAAAAACCAAAAAAAAAAAAAAAAAAAAAAAAAAAAAAAAAAGAACAGTATATGTAACATCAGTCTTAATGATTCTTGTATTACTTTAAGGCTTTGTGTGGGAGAATTTTGAAATTAGTTTTAAATACACAACACTTATGGAGTAAACTGTCAGATGCAAGTCAGTATGAAATTGAAGGAGTTTTCTTTCTCATGTAGATTATTCAGTTCTCTAGGCTTTTAATACCTGTTGTCATCTCTGAAAGATACTTTCTTTACTTCCTCAGCACTTCCATTAATTTCTCAATATCTCTGACAGAAATAGGGCAGTTAAGGAGAAGAGTGTTAGGAGCTAGGGAAGGCAGGAGCTAAGTATGAAGTTGAGCTTAAAGGGCAAAGTTTTGATGGGACAGTAAAGTACTAAATTTATTTTCCAAAACTTCAGACTTAATTGGCAATGTTTTCCTCTAATTATGCCTTTATTTCTAAGTATAGACCCTTTCTAATCTCCCTTTAAACATCCTTATTTGACTATATTCTCAGCAAATTCATCAGCTTTGTCTACCCCTCTCTTCTTTTTCCAAGCAAAAAGTACAATCTTAGAACTCTCTTCACTTCCAACTGTGACTGTTCTCTGCTGCTTCTACCCTCCCATATCCAATCACCAGGCCCTCTCTTACTATTTCTTAAGGGTCTTTAATTCCTTCTTTCTACTACTGCCACTACTACCACTTGCCCAGTTCTGGTACTGTTTCCTCTGAGTTGAAATGCTATCTTTAATTTTTCCTCTTTTGCCTTTTCTAAGCTGATTTTCATATTCTTCTTAGATTAGTGTGCTAAAAGCAGTTCTGCATTTCAGAGTTCTGAGTGTCCTCTAGAGCCTTACAAATATCTTCTAGCCTTATTTCCATGAACTGTATGTGCCATCCCTCTGAGTTACTGGTGTACATACTACCTATTCCTTGTGCTCAGAACTTTTTTGTGTATGTACCATTTCCAAATATTTTTTTTTATATCCCCTTATCTATTTCCTCTCAAACTAAGTCTAACACATTGGTTCTTCCTTAAAAGTGATCTCTCAGCTAAGTGATCTCTTGGACCTTGAACTACTTCTTTTAATTCTCCAAAAAAAGAATGTGTTTATGGTTTTGTTTTTTTTTTTTTTTTTTCAGTTTTTACCTTCTACAGGGCCTTTGCACAAATACTGTAGTACTTGCCATGACCATTAACTTTGTCAAGTGCTCACAATTCCTACCCTTGAAGTGAAGCACAGAGAGACAAGGAATATCTTCACTGATCAGCGAATATATCAAATTGTAATTAAAAATGTTAAAGAAGGAACTAATTATGTCCTAGAATTACCTACATAACATTTCTGTCATTGACATTACATGTATCTGTAAATCCTGTAAGATTGTGTCGTCCACTGACCCTGCAGCGTTCTTAGTACTTTTTGTCATGTTTATATAAAGGCAGAATTGAGTAACAAAGCATTTCTCAGAATTTATCCCTGCTGTTAAGCTACCCATGCCCACAGTTGAAGAACTACATGGGCAAGAAAGTTTCAAAGAGAAGTTAATTTCTTAGAAAGATTTGATAAAATTATTGTGTTGGTTATGATTTCATAACAGTCCTTCATTTTCAGGTTGAAATGGGCATGAAGAACCATGAAATAGTTCCCTGCAGTTTGATTGCTTCTATTGCAAGCCTGAAACATGGTGGCTGTAATAAAATTTTAAGAGAATTAGTGAAACATAGACTCCTAGCTTGGGAGCATACCAAAAGTAAGTATTTTAATGCATCATTTGTGAATTTTCAGGTAATTGGTTTCCCCCAGAGCAATTATTCAAAAGACAAGAAATAGAAAGTGCCAGACTAGTGAAGCACTAGGCTAAGAACTGACACAACACTCTGCCTCATTCTGTTTGTCCATAAATCACAGGGCATTATATGGTATCTGCACTCAACAGTTTATTCTTGCTGGTGTGTTCATAGGACAATGCAATAGAAATTCAGTATCTAGCATTGTTAGTTTTCTTGGCTTTGTGCTTGTTAAACTTGGTATTTCTATTGATACAGTATTTTATTGTTTTTTACACTGGTTTCTTTTGGTGTTATCTTCAATAATAAGCAGTGTTGCTGCCATCTTTGGAAAATTCAGTCTGCTGCAGGACTGTATACTAGAGCATTACTTCTCCAGCTGTATGGATGGTGAGGGGCGAGTTTTTAAACCTGTCAAAGATTTTTAGTTTCATAAACTATAAGAAAAAGTATTTACCAGAAAGAAGTGAATAACAGACATATACAAAAACTGGCATAAATTCTTGGTCAAATCAGTATAAACATTTCTGAACTTAAATGCTTCCTTTTAGTTTCTGTATTTATCTTGTCACAGACATTTATAGACTGATAGCTACAGGTGGGTCATACTTTAAGTAACTGTACCCTGGAGAATGCAGATTATAAGAACAAATTGGAAACTTTTAAGTCCGGGTAGTTTGTTTTTCCAGCTTAAGACTTTCCATCTTATTTTGAATTACTGTGACTTGTTCCTGCAATGTAACTAATAGTTGATCTTTCTCATTTGGTTTTGTCTAGCTGTCCAGGGATATCGGTTGACAAACGCAGGCTATGACTACTTAGCTTTGAAAACACTTTCTTCTAGACAGGTAGTTGAGTCTGTTGGAAACCAGATGGGTGTTGGCAAAGAATCAGGTAAGTCCTAATAGTCCTGTTGGAAGCATTTTCTGGTTTTTCTCCGGTACCGGGAACCGAACTCACGACCTTGCACTTGCCAGGCAGGCGCTTTTTGCCGCTGAGCTAAATCCCCAGCCCCGGAAGCATTTTCTTTAGTTTATATTTCCCCTTGAGAAAGCATTGCTCTTGCAGTTTTTCCACATTTTCCAACCAAGCAGTAAATTGGAACATTGTTTGGAGGCAGTATAGATTATGACCATGACATTAGCTTAGGAGGTTATTTTATTTCCTTAGTCCAACATTGAAAATTTAATTATAGCAAGAATTGATTTTCTGCTAACAACTATGCTTTTGGGCAGAATTTTATTTGTTCTATTTCATGTCTGATAAATTGTACATTTATAACAGTTAAAATATGTACTACAAGGTAGTAATACAAGACACTTACTATCTAAAAACTAGAAACACATTTTACACCACAGAGTTATGACCAAAAAGTCAAAGATGAGTATATATAAAACATAAGGAGAAAAAAAGCATTCTAAAAAACATTGAACAAATACTTGGGCATAATTTATTCTCTTTGAGAAGACAGGAAAAAGGAACAGGAAATGATTTTGTTTGTATCATACCTTCTGCCCTACTGCTTTTTATTCTGTATAGTTTATATATGTATTTATATAAACAGAGGAAACAGAATAAACTTGGAAGTAAGAGAATTATTAAGACATCTACCCCAAAGATTTCTGTGCTACTTTATATGGCTTGCATGACTTCAGATTATGCTGTGTGTTTAAAAAGTAATGCTAGACTACTAAATAGAGCATTCTGTTTGTGTGTGTGGTAAATACATTAATAAAAGTATGAGATTAAATACAGGGCTGGGGGTTTAGCTCAGTGGCAAAAGCGCCTGCCTGGCAAGCGCAAGGTCGTGAGTTCGGTTTCCGGTACCGGAGAAAAAGAAAAAAAAAAAAAGAGAGAGATATTAAATACGTTAATAAAAGTAGGATAAGCTTTTTTTTAATTTTGTTTTTTCTGTGCAATACAGTCAATATTTCTTTTGATTATAAAATCATGATTTGGCTGTTACAGATACTCTAATAATATATATGAGAACCAAGTCATAATGAAATAAAAATTCAGTTTTAGACAAGATCGGGCATGTTCAGTGTGGTATGGCAATAGACAAAATTCATTTTTTAAAAAGTTTTATTTTTTAATTTTTAAGGAATTTTTAAGTTTTATTTTTTAATTACATGGCAAAGATGATGAGTAGTACCAAAGAGAATGCGATTAAAAACTAGTCTTATTCCTAGCCCATGTCTCATTCTCCTTTTACTACATCCCAAAGCTAGCACCCTTTATTTTTTCATGTCCCTATAGAAATTTTCTGTATGAGTACCTTCATATGTATTAAAGATGTTTGTAGAAACATTTATATACCATTTTAATCACAAGTGAAAGCCACCAGTATTCACTGTTTACATTTGACTTATGCCCACTTGATTTGTTCTTGGTGTCATTTCACAGCATTTCCTGTTTTCCTCACAGTTGCAGGACATCACATTATATGGAAGTTCCATAAATGATTTTATTAGTTGATGATTGCTTAAGTTACTTTCCATCATTTTTGTAAGTAGTGATGCAGTGTGCACCCTTGTGGATATAGTTACACATTCTCAAAATTGAATTATTAGGACAGCTATTAGGTTGCTAGGGCTACTATAACAAAATACCACAGATCAGGTAGCTTAAAAACAGGGATGTAGTTTTGGAGGGTAGAAGTGTAACATCAGGTTTTGGTTTCTCCTATGGCCTCACCTTAGTTTGCAAGCTCCTGACTTGCTGTGTCCTCACCTGATGAGTCTTCCTTTTCTGATAAGGACTCTAGTTATAGATGAGGGTCTTACTCTTTGACTTTTTTTAATTTTAAAGAGAAAAAAAACCAATAGAAACAATACAGAATTTCAAAACAAGATGATAGGAAATTAACAATGGTTATTATATTACATATTACTATCTTCAAAGTGACTTTTTAATTTGATTACCTCTTTAAAGGGCCTATATTCCGTTATACTGGAAAGTAGGTCTTCAATATAGGAATTTTGGAGGCACATGCCATTCAGTATAGAACAAGGGGGAAAGTACTTAAAATGTAAAGGCCATTAAATTTTTGATTTATCAGATTTCCCTCCAAAAATTTGTGTTCATTTATAACTTCATCAGTATGTGTGACAATCTCTTTCTTATTAGAAATAATTAGAATTTCTTCATGAGTAACTAGAATGTATTCTGAATATCACCATTTCAAGCAGCAGCTCTTTTTGGTTTTTTTTCCAGTACCAGTAATTGAACTCACCACCTTGCGCTTGCCAGGGAGGCGCTGTGCCGCTAGCTAAATCCTCAGCCCCCAACAACTCTTTTTGATAGATGAAAAACTGCTTATTAAAAGATTCTTATTTATATGGTTATATTCAAACAACTGAGTAGCATTTATGAAAGCAGTTGAAGAATTGAACTTAATGTCTTTGAAAAGGGAGGTACAGAAACACTTCGCTTATGTTAAGGAACAGTTAGGTGTTTCTCTACTAAATTGAATGACTGCTTTAACGTGTAGATGGGGCCATTGAACATCTTAGAAGCAGTAACTTTTGACCACTACGTCTCTGATTTATTTTGTAGTATGTATATGTTGGCTTATAAAGTAAAATAGTGAACACATGGGAAATGAGTTGTTTTGCCAAGTATATAATAAGAAAGATGACAGATTCAAGAAAAAATCAGATGAAGTTAATTGTTTTAACTTACTATAAGAAAAGCATAACAGTGTTCTTTTAAAAATCTTGATTTCAGATATTTACATTGTCGCAAATGAAGAAGGACAGCAGTTTGCATTAAAGCTTCACAGACTAGGAAGAACTTCCTTCCGAAATCTGAAAAATAAGCGTGATTACCATAAGCATAGGCATAGTGTTTCTTGGCTTTATTTGTCTCGTCTCTCTGCCATGAAGGAATTTGCTTATATGAAGGTATTTTTTAAATGATTTTATATTGTTTAATCAAGTAAAACAGATAGCTCATTTTTCAACCAAGTAATACAAAGAAAGACCTTCCTGATGAGCATCTCCCTAGCCTCAGGCTCAGTCCCTATAGACAGTTGCTTTTAACTCTTAATTCTGTGTTACTTTTCTAATGATTTCTTTGTAGTGAGGTATTTTTAACTGTTATTAATGCAAATTCATATGAAAGGAAGTGTATTCCTATATAAGTATGTAAGTTAGGCTCAGACTACCTGGTAAATGTTTAGATTTAAAAAATGTATGACAGTAAAGGACACATTGCCGCTAATTGCCCTAAAATTACTCCCTTAAACACACTTATCCCATCATTTGTACCACTTTCTGAAGCAGTTCTGGAAGCCCTCTTTCATGAGTGCCTTCATAAGATATGATCAAACATGGTGCTGTCAGGTGCCATCCACCCGAGAGGCAGGTTTGCAAATTAAATTACGTCCTCATCTGCCTTATTCATCAGTCTTAGGACTGTGCTACTTCTGGCTGTTCCCCAAATCAAAATGACCGTGAAAGGTGAATATTTTAAATCAATTCAGAATATCAAAGCAGGCATGACAGTGCATCTAAAGACATTCACAGAAGAGTCCTTCCAGAGCTGCTGTAGAGAATGGCAAGAACAATGAGATAAGTGTGTTTGAAGAAAGGGGGAGTGTGTGTGTGTGTGTGTGGGGGGTAATGGCCATGTGTCTTTTGTTACGATACATTTTAAAAATTTTAAATATCCATCATATTTGATCATTCTCATATATCTGTTAATTGTAAATGCCACATAATTACCATCCGTCGGAAACCTTAATGTCCCAAATAAGTAGACAAGTATTTTTCTTTAACATAATGGAAAAAATGTCCTTTTGCAAACTTGTGTAAGTATCAAAAATGGGGAAAAAAAGAAACTCAGTTTTTAACTTCCTTCATAATAAGGTTCAACATAGATTTTCTCAGATATTTTAAATAATACTCAAGTATCTTCAATAACTAAATTAAACAGAAAGTTGTGTTTATATTCTGCCTTGTAGGATGTATGATAGTTTTCTTCAGTTTTTTTTTTTTTTTAATTTGAATTACTGGCACAAATTCAGTTCAAAAATTATAAGTACTGAAAATTGCTCTTCTTGGGAGTTCCATTTATTCTTCAAGTGGGTTACATTAATTCATATGCATAAATTTTTAGTAATTGGAGAATTTTGAAAGCAGTATAAATAGGTGACACAGATATTAGATATGTTATGTTTCTGTTTTAGACTAAAAATTTATCTCCTAAGACATTTTATCTGTAAGTAAGCAGCCTGGTAGGAACGGTTAGAAATGTTTCCCAAACTGTGTTAGGTGTTTTTCCAGGGTGTTTATATTGAACAAACAGAAGTAGAACCTGGTTACGCATAATAAATACACTCCCTAAATACATCGGTACTTTTCTGAGAGTTGAAGAGTAAGGTATATTTTAAACTGTGGCTGCTATAGTGTAAGTTCTAGGCAAACAGACAGTGTTTAAGGTTATGATGTGCTGCTTAACTGCTAACACATGTGCCAAATGGTCTGCATTTAAAAACAACTGTCTGAAAACAAAGTCAACAAAAATTTCTGGAGAATGGACAGTAGTTCATTTCCTGTCTGCCAGGAGTGGGAAAGTAGGAGTAAGGTGGACAGCCTTTGAAAATTAACTAGGTTGAGCTGGGGTGAAGGAATAGGAAAATAATAACCAGTGGCCCTTCTCGCAGAGCTGGGCTGGCAGCGCACACATTTAACAGCTTTTAAATGCTGTTAGCGCATGAGCGGTGCAGAGCCTGAGTTTTATTTGAACATACTAATTTGTGCATCTAGCGTACTTTATGTTCCCCTCGCATACCCCTCTTCCCTTCCCCTTCCCCAGTCCCATTCCTCTTATAGTATCCTTCCTGTCATCTCTCTTTTATAAAAAAGTTCAGACATTTATTGACTAAGTTGATTTTTTGGTGTTAAGAGTTTTGAGTTGTTTGTGAATCTCTGTAGGAGAATATGTAGCAAAGACTTACTCCCATTCTATAGGCTGTCTCTTTACTCCTTTGGTTGTTTCCCTTGTGAAGAAGCTTTTTAATGTGATACAGTCCTGTTTATTGATTTTTTGCTCCTATTTCTTAGGCTGTTGGAGATCTCTTCAGGAAGTCTTTGCCTGTGCCTGTGACTTCTAAGTGTTTCTCTTCTTCTAGCCACTTCAAAGTTTCGGGTCTTGTCCCTAGGTGTTTATTCCATTTTGGGTTTTTTTGGTTTTTTGTTTTTATTCCATTTTGAATTGATTTTTGTGTAAGGTGAAATACAGGGATTTCATTTCAGTCTTATCCAGTGAGATACCCAGTATTCTCCACCGCATTCGTTAAATAGACTGTCTTTTCTCCAATGTATATTTTTGTCTGCTTGGTTAAGAATCAGATGGCTGCAGTTGAGTGGGTTTGTTTCCACGTGCTCTATTGTGTTTCATTGGTCTGTGTGTTTATTTTTGTACCAGTCCCATGCTATTTCTGTTATCATGGCTTTGTATATTTTGAAATTGAACTGTCTTATTTTGGTTAAAGTACTTTCCAGCTCCAGCTACTTTCCTGCACTGCTAACCAAAAACAATTTTTTAAAAAACGAATTAATATCTTGAATTTAGAGTTTAGTAGAGTGGCATAGTTGATGAAGGTTGTCTTTTTCTTTTTTTTTTTTTTTTTGGTTTTTCTCCGGTACCGGGAACCGAACTCACGACCTTGCGCTTGCCAGGCAGGCACTTTGCCGCTGAGCTAAATCCCCAGCCCGAAGGTTGTCTTTTGAAGTAAGAGTTTAGTAGATGCATAAAGCTTGGCTATGATGTGACTATAAAAAAAGGACAATGAGCACTGGAAAGGGACAGTTTGGGCGAAGTGATGTGTGTTTAGGTGACACAGGTTGGTAGCTCTTGCTAGAATTCTTGCGGAATACTCAGTGTAAATGACAAAGGCTTACTAGCATTCCAAATGAAAGCATGGGGGAAAAGATAGCTGTGTAGATGATCTGAAATGTTTGACTCAGGTTACTACAGTATATATGTTTGTCAAGTAATAGATTTATAGTTGTATAATTGTGCTCTGAAGAAAACAGTTCTGTGGACACTAAAATGTCTGACTTTGAAATGCATCTTTTTGTACTATGCAGACGACAATGTGTGTTAAATCATAATTTGTTTTCATTGGAATATTTCAAGCACACATCAACAAATGACAGAGACAAAATAGAAGTGAAATATCCTAAAAGACTCTGAGCTTCGTAGGGGCTCAGTTTTGTAACCCTGGCAAAGTGCATAATCAGTTAATGTTCATTTTTAGAGGAAAAATAAATTCAAACAAACAAGTTTAAAATTTGTTTTTATGTACAACTTATTCTTGCAGTGATTAATAAGCAGTATATAAATAACCATGTGCTGTGATTTTTTTTTTTTTTTTTTTTTTTTGGTAAAGGGTTGTTTTTTTTCCTCTAGTTGTGGAAAATTACATTTACTTTGTTTTTTCTTCTTTAAAAAGTAATAACCTCTTTTTTACCTTATACCTGTTTTGCCATGTTTTAGGCATTACATGACAGAAAATTTCCAGTTCCAAAGCCAGTTGATTACAATCGCCATGCAGTGGTCATGGAGCTCATAAGTGGCTATCCTCTGTAAGTACTCATTCTTGAAACCATAGGTCCTAATATATGAACTTCCGGTTCGACTTTATTAAGTGTTTCTTTAATTCATAGAATGTCGCCTCTGAGAAGTTAGGAATTGACTTCAAGAAATAAACTGTAAGACAAGTTTAAAACTCAGTTTCATTTAGTTTGGTTTGTACTCTGTGATTCATTAATTCAATATTTATTGAATCTCTTACATGACAGGTGCTTTTAAGCTCAGCAGTAAACAAACAATGTCCTTGCTGTCATCAGAGTTACATTTTGATGGGAGAGACATGCCTTAAATAACTAAACAAAATAGTAATATATCAAGTGGATCAATAACAGCTGTGGGTAAAAGTGAAGCAGGGTAAAGGGGATAGAAACACCAAGGTGGGAGTAGAAGATTGCTATTTTGCATATAGTAGTCAAGAAAAGTTTTGTTAATGAGGTGAAAATTTATGCGTGTGGAAGTTGCAAACGGAGGAGGGTATGCAGCTATCTAAAAGATGTTACAAATAGGAAATGGCAGATCACAGGCCCTGGAGGAGAACGTATTTGGCAGCCATGCCTGGGTCGAGACAAAGCTGGAGCTGAGTGACTAAGGAGGGAGGGACATGGTAAGTAGGGACATCACATGGCATGGGGAGCTGGTTGCCAGTTCACTTAGGATTTGTGGACCTTTGCAAGGAATTTTAAACTTAGAACGAAATAGGAAGCCATAGGACTGTGTTGAGCAGAGAAAAGATGTGATATAACTAATGTCTTTAAAAGATCACTCTGGCAACTCTTACTAAGAATGGATTTGTAGCAGACAAAAATGTTAGAAACATAAGTTAGACTATTGCAATAATCTAGACAAGAGATGGTAGTAGCTCTGATCACAGTGATTGTCAAGAAAGTGGTAAAAAGTGCTCAGAGTCTATATTTTATAGATTGCCCAACAGGAGTTACTTGGGATTGGAGTTGGATATGAAGGAAGCGGGGAGTCAGTGATGACACCCAGGTTTTGGCCTGAATGATGGTGAGCGAGGAAGCCCAGGAGTTAAGTGAAAGAAGTATTTAAAAGTGGGGGAAGAGGTCAGCTGCCTAGAAATGATGATCACTAAGGATTTGGATTTAGAAACTTGGAAGTCACAGTCTTTATAAGAACCATTTCATTGGAGTAAGGTGGGTGAAAGCTTATTTGAATTGGTTCATAAGAGTGAGAGGAAAAGAAATCAGCAAGAGTTTGGCTCTGAGAAAGATTAAAGAAAGGAGGCTGCAGTGGAAACAAGATACAGAATTGAAACAGTATGACCCTTCAATTACTGGAACATGTCATGCATGGTCAGGGGAATAAGGACAAAATTGCTAGGCAGAGTAGAATAATATATGTGTACACACACATATTTTTTGTTAGAATCATAATGTGTACAAATAACCTATTTTCATTCTTAAAATTCTTTCAGATGTCAGGTGCACCATGTTGAAGACCCTGCATCAGTGTATGACGAAGCGATGGAGCTCATTGTCAGACTTGCAAATCATGGCTTGATTCACGGAGATTTCAATGAATTCAATCTTCTGTTGGATAAAGATGACCACATCACCATGATAGATTTTCCACAGATGGTGTCAACCTCTCATCCCAATGCAGAATGGTATGTGCTGTAACTGATTTTTACATGTGGGAGTGTTCGTATGTGATGAAGTCTTTTTATTCATAATTTCTAATTTTATAAAAGTTTTAGTAATTGTTTTGAAGTTGCAGGTTTTGATTGTACCAAAAAAATGTTTTTTGTAAAAGGATGTGCTACCATTATACTAGAATGTCCACTGTCAGAATCTTTCTTACTCCATAATAGCATCAAAAGAATTTGAATTACTCTTTAACTGGACAGACATTCAAGTCAGACTTTCTTAAACATGGTCCACTTTATCCAGGGACAAACAGATTTTGGGTGGAAGCTCAATTTTTAAAATCGATAAAAGCCTTCTCAGATTATGGAGTTGAGCCTAGAACCACCACATACTTCTGGTCTTTCCTCTTTTCTCTCTGCTAAATGGTTACCATCAAGAGACCCTCACCAAGCATAACTAATCGTGGATGGCCTTAGTAAAAATGATGGTTTTGTTTGGACATAGTTTCCAGACCAATGATAATTATTTCTCAGGTTCTTTTTAGCTTTTATTGCTAGAAAAGAATTCACATAAAATTTCTTCCCTGATACAGGGCAGAATGACTATATATTGTGATAATCATGTTCTTCACATTACTTAAACCAGCCAAGTTGTAGAATATGGTATTTTCCTTTATTTACTTGTATTCCATGACACAGTGAGTGTAACCAGATATAAGGTTAAGTGTTTTTTTCTCTCTCTCCCTGTTCCAGGTTTTATGAGAAACTTGTCACAAAGTAACAACTGGCATCACTTATATAATAGTTTGTTCATTCTTGCAGAGCTTGAGCTCAGAGTTTATGTTTAGTGAAGTTTGTCCTCCTGGTTTCCATTAGAAACTGTCTGTACTTACGTTAGAGAAAGAAATTTAAAGTTATTTCCAACAGAAACTACTAAAAGATTAATGGCAGGCACTCGTGTGTCAGTCCTCCGGGTGTTGGCCGATCACCATTTTTATTAATGTGGAGTAGTACAGTTACACACTAAAGGAACATTTGGGGGCCACCAGGTAGAGCAGGGCTTGACGAGAGACAGACTGTGATATTCTGCACTGTTCTTTGGAGAGGCATTGACTGGATTTACATGAACCGGTAGTGGGGCAGGGGAGTTGTACTAAGAGCTAGAATAAGATACAAGCCCCTTCTGTGCTTTTGAAAAAAAATACCGTCTATTCAGGGAAATGTGAACTTATATAAATAAAGTGATAATTTTTAAATTTATTAAAATTTTTCCTAGGGCCCTGAGAGCAAAAAAGAGTAGCATTGTCTTCCCATTCTTCAAACTTCATCTTTCTCAAAAATAATGTAGTTAAAATTTCGAGTAGTTAAAAATTCAAGAAGGTGGTCAATTCCATCTCATCTTGTCCTCAACTGTCTGTTATGCGGAAAGCTTCTAAAGACCTAAATCTGGAAGGAAAAACCTGAATCTATTCTTGCTGCTTTGTAGTGGCCAGAAAAGTAACCTGATATTCAAAGTTCCTTCTAAACTCTCGGGCCAGTTTAACCTGTCCTCAGATCATTATGTATAGGCCACAGCGTTACTTATTCTTTGGGTATTATGGATCATAAAGGTACGTAGTCTGTAAACTTTTCCTCGTGAGACATTAATCTTTTATCATCAGCTTTCCCACTTGGCAGAGGGCTCCAGTAGGGCTTGCTGGTGGGAAGCTTCCCCTGACAGACTGGTGAGTGAGGAGGGTGAGTGGAAACCTTCCACACTGTAGACCACAGTCGCCTGTTCTGGGTTCTCACTCTCCTCCCCACCCGCTGCACATTTTACCGTACACTGAGTGGCACTGTGAGAAAATCTTGGCTTCTCTAACCATGGGAACTCCACTGACATAGTCCTTGAGGTTTCCTCCTATTTTAGTTTTTTCCAGTACACTGGCAACTCATTTATACTTTTCTTTTGTGTAACATTTTTTTCCTCCATTTCATAAGCAACAAGTATTGTAACAAATAAGAATATTGTCATTGGCTAATTAGGGGGGAAAATGATTGACAAAAGACAATATCAAACCGTATTTTTCCTTTTTTTTGTTTTTGAGGTATTTTGACAGAGATGTTAAGTGCATCAGAGATTTCTTCATGAGACGTTTTGGCTATGAAAGTGAGCTTTATCCAGCTTTTAGCGATATCAGGTTTGTACTCAGTATTGCTTAAAATGATAGGACTCAATATTTATTGAGTTCCAAAGCTTAACATTGCTCTCTGAAAAAATGTTCAGTAGTGATCTTTGCTACATTATAATTGCTATTAACATTGGCCTGCAGTACATCAGTGAAACTTAAAAATGTGAAAATACTTATCTTTAGTTCATGAAGGCACAATTTTGTTTTAGAAAATACATGTTTTCTTTTATGTTCAAGAACTTTTATTCTGTTTTGGATGTTATGGGAAAAACTCATTCATAAGGCATCAAACCAAATTACCTTTTTAAATTCATAGTTTTTCTTTATTCAGAACAGAAACTATCTTTAATTAATTTTTGGAACATAATTTTACATTCTCTAAGGTAAATTTTCTCATTTGTTTTATGGCTTTAGATATTTCCTGATTTGGGATGAATTGTAATTTTTAAAAAGTTTACTTCCCTTTGAAACTTCCCTTAGTAAATTAATAGTAAATAAAGTTTCTATAACTTTTGATTAATAAACATTGCTTTTCAGTCTGTTTTATTCTTAAAATGACAGCTACCATGTATCTTTTGTAGTCATATATTTAAATATAATATTTTAAGCAAAGAAAAATATTTCAACTTACCTCAAGAACTGTAATTTATCAGAACAGTAGATATTTTTTCATCTCAAATAGATATTTTTTCTCTTTTAATACTAAACACTTTTTCTCACCCTAGGAGGGAGGATTCTCTTGATGTTGAGGTTTCTGCCAGTGGTTATACAAAGGAAATGCAGGCAGATGATGAACTTCTACATCCAGCAGGTCCTGATGATAAAAATACTGAAAGAGAGGAGGGCTCTGATTTCTCCTTTTCTGATGATGAGGTGTCAGAAAAAGCAAAGGTTTGTAGGTCAGAAATTGAAAGCGAACAGAATGCTGTGGATGGATCAGGAGGTTGCTGCTGCAGCTCATCTGGTGACCTGGAGCAAATAGAAGAAGACGGTTCATCCAAAGAGAGGGCCCACGCACACAATTTTGAAATGACTGAATTCAGTCGACCTTTAGAAGAAATAAAAGGGCAGATGGTTGAAAACATCTGTACAACTGAGTTTTCTGAGAAGAACAGAACTGAACATGCCACCATGCAAGAAGGTCAGACAGGTCAAGGGGGAGTCCCTGCTGGCTCCGAGGAAGATGAAGATGACTGTCCTCATCTCGTGAACCTGTCATCATTAAACGAAGAACTCAGGCCTTTCAGGTACAGATTTTTTGTTGTTGTTGTTGTTTTGTTTTTTTGTTTTTTCTCCGGTACCGGGAACCGAACTCACGACCTTGCACATGCCAGGCAGGCGCTTTTGCCACTGAGGTAAATCCCCAGCCCCTTAGGTACAGATTTTTATTGATTGTTTCTTGATTCTAATCTTCAGACCAAGATGTTTGGTTCTAATGAATGACTGCTTTAGAAGAAATGAAATAGTTTAACAGAGTTGTGTTCTGCCACTGTTACGTGCAAAATGAAAACCAAATAACCTTTCTCTTACTAAAACTCATAATATGTCTTCCTTCTCAGTTGAGCTGAATCAAGGTAGCCTGTTAACTAACTTTCAATTCTGCCTTAAAATGCAAAATGACTTTCAAAGGATTAAATGTAGGTCTTGATAAAGTTACCAGCTTTTAAATGAGTTCGTTTTTATATTTACACATCTAGTTTATGTTTGAGTTATATAAAGGAATGTGAATACATAAAGCATGCAGTTAATGTTCTTTCCATGTAAAATATCTGCAGCAAATTTTCCCTGGTATTTTAATTGTCTATCCTTTTTTCCTATACTGTTAAAATCATATGATGGTATTATATTTTCTTGTAAAATTTATTTTGCTTTACAAATATTACTGAGTCTCAGATTAGTCAGAAAAAGCTTAAGATTTGGGATAGCAAATCCAGAATCAAACTTAATTTAATGGAAAAATTGATTTTATTTATCTCAATATAATAATATGACAAAATTGGACCAGCAAAGTATGTATTAAGCATTCTTCAGTGCATATCTGGCCTTGTGTTTTAAAGCTATTTTTGTCTGTAAAGTTTTATGAGGATGTTGTTCCTTTTCCATGTAGCTCTGTATCTTCAGTCTCAGGGCTACTGCCATTGTTAGGAGTCGTAGTGGTTCAGAATTTTTAGGAAATGATTGTGTTGGTCTGGATGCTCCAGAGAAACAAAAACCAATAGAGTTATTATGATGCCCTTCAACTTGCCGTGAGGTTACATCCCAATAAGTCCATCATAGGATGAAAATACTCTAAGTCAAAAATGTACCTCACCTCTTCATAACTTAGCAGTCTATTGTTTACCCTTGTGGTTACATTGATTAAGAGCTATGGCATATTGTTCAGTGGCCCATATCACATATCACCAGCCTGAGAATGAAACAAAATTTGATGGGTTTTAGCAAAAGTATTACTTTTGCATCATTGTAAAGCTGAAAGTTTTAAGTCACACCATCATAAGTCAAGGACAGCATTGAGGAATTAGCTTTTGTAGTTATATGTAAGTCTTAGGATCTATAGCATCCAGTAGAGCGAGTGGTGTAGTATCAGTCTAGATCCCAAGGCCCAAAAACCAGGAGAGCCAACAGTATGAGTTCCAGAGTCTAGAGGCAGAAGACACATGTCCCACCTGAAAGACAGCCAGAAATAGTCAAATTCTCTTACTGTGCCATTTTTGTTGGTTTTGAGCTTTCAGTGAATTAGATTGGGCCTGTCCATATGGGGGAAAACGGTCTGATTTACTCAGTCTGCCAATTCAGAAATGCCTTCAGGTATACCCAGAACAATGTTTAAATAAATATGTGGTACCCCGTGGCCCAGTAAAGTTGACACATAAATTTAAATTTAAACTTAAACATGGTAGTAAAAGAAAAATTAAGGTTAAATGATCTTTTAAGTTGTAAGCAGGGAATGGAAGTCCTACATTTTCAGTCTCTGGACATGTGCTATACAAAACTTACATTATGCATAGTAGAAGCAAAATAAATGTTCCTGAGAAATATTAATATTTTCTGAGTTTTTACACATTTTGAAAACTGATCAGTGTGAAAAAGTAGTTTCCGTGCTTTTAGTTTTTTCTACCATACAGTCATAGCATTCTGCCTCTGTCCCCATTATACCTAATATTTGGGAAGGAGGCAAGAAAGTGTTGCAGACATTTAGGTGGTAAGGGGCAGATTTGCGTAGTTAAGTAAAAGGAGAGGTCTAGTGGAAAAAAGACATGAATTGTGAGGAAATGATAGATTTCAGTGACTGAGCTATTCTGTCATTTTGAAATTTTGATAGTGACTATCAGAATGTTGAAAATGAAATTGAGCTGAATTGTAGGTAATTTTACCCTCAGAAATTTTAAATATAGTCTTTCCATAGTATATTGAAGTAAGGTCAGGTAAGATAAATTAATGCAGTCAAGCATGATTACACTATAAGAATTAACTAGATGAATTATGGACTTTTTAAATTTTATTCTAGAGATGAAAATGTGGGAAATATTAATCCATCTAGAACAAGAACTCTGAGTGTTACTTCTGCAGGCAGTGTTGTAAGCTGTTCAACAATTCCTCCAGTAAGTACTTGTACAGTTACCAAATGTTGATTAAGGCACTACTGTGGACAGATTGATGAGCACAGCCCTGTGAAGATGACAAGATACTTTTGGATGTTTGGACCTTACGTATTAATGTTAAAAATTATGAAAGTAGAAATTTAGTAATGTATGAGAGAGAATTTGCTTTTAACTATAATGATCAAAGCTTTAAGAAAAGGGTCGTATATAAATTAGCTTGAACTTGAAGGATAAAAATCTTAAATATTTTAGATCCAAGGGGACTTGGTAGTCTTATATGGTTTAGTCCTTTCACTTAACGGTGAGGAAAATGAAACCCAAACAAGTTATGTGACTTTCTAAGTTATATACCTAATGACAGCAGTGCACCTTCACAAGCTATTTTTTCATAAAGTTTGAGAGAGAAAAAGATACGTTTGCCATTTTTGACACCTAAAGTGTTTGTTGGAATCTTCGGACATTTATCAACAATGTGCAAAGAAGTCACAAAAGAAAAGGGAAAAGCAAAAAAAAAAACAAAAACAAAAAAACAAGAATATATATATATGCACACACACGTATTACACACAAGATAATTAAGGTCATTATACTAGTAATTTCACTTAGTTCCTTGAAAAGAAAGGTTTGTGCTAATATTGTTTGGACAATTAAATGCATATATCTTGTACTCTGCATAACTAATTTAAAGATAACAATACACTATGTATTAACCACTGATACTCTACTGTTGTTTTGAAATTTGGGGTTTTTTTTCTCTTTAAAATAAAATTTAAAAAGAAAAGAAAGGAACATTTTTCTGAACAAGACTATAAGCAAAAGTATTCTGGCTCTTCCTGAGAAGCATTTTTATGTGCCAGCCTTCTTTCAGAACTGCCCAGAAGGAAGAATCAGTTTAGAGATAATCACTCCCTCAAAGAAAAGCTAGTCTCACTGACCTGTGGAGGTGCTCCGTCTCCCGCTTCCAGACATCAGTATTGTAAAGGTACATGTCACTGTACCTTACCATTTAAGAACAACATGAATTCCCTATCCAACACTAAGAAAGTAAAGCAAACAAGTAACACTTTCTTCATAAATTAAAATTACATGATTGGGGTGTTGGATTTTTTCTTGCTATTTGAGATGAGTACCACTGGAGCTACAGTTCAGTGATAACTCACGAGCAAAAGAAGGAAATCAGTTAAGAAAGGAGATGAAACGATTAGATGGAAAACGAATTCAAATGTAAATAACTTCTTGTTCCCACCTTTGTATTCCAAGTTTACAAATATTCAGTCAGTAAATTAAAATGTATGCTGTGCGGTTGGTAGTATGGGATGTTTACCAAATTAAATCAGAGCAATCAAAAATAAGGCTTTTAAGAGTCCTGTGATTTATAATATATCATAGTTCCAGGGCTCTGCCTAATCTCAGAGATATTTAGAACTTGTCAGACCAGTAAGAAGGTGAAATTCTAGAAATATTAACTGCTTTTATATACTCTTTCTGCGGGTCTGGTAATTTCCCTTATTTTTCTGAACAAAAATTTGAAATCTATGAAGTATATATCATTTCAAAAGATCTCCTTTTAAGTATTATCCGCCTGTCTTTATTATAGACTTCTCACCATTCAGGATCACCTGTCCCCTTAGCTTTATTTTGATATCTGCTAGGATTTGTTGGCCTTCCTGTCTTTGATTTCTCAAGATGAGAACGTAATTTGATATAGCTAATTAGTGGAACAAAATTGGTAATTGCATATAAAGAAAACTAGATTACCAATTTATGCTGCACCCTTAAATTTTAATTTGCGTGCTGTTCTCTATGAAGATGATGGCACAGACTTTGTCAGATGCGGGTTAGAATTGTGTTTGCGTGTTTTAACCACGGAGTCTTACTGCTTTAATCATTCTGACACATCTCTTGGTGCTAGCAAAAGAATTTAAAATGTTAACATGGGTTGAGTCTTCAGCTCTTCCATCTTGGGCTTTTTGAATTACATTATAAAATACAGACTTCTGAGAAATGAAGAAAAAGATCCACTTAGCCTATTCTCTCTGATCATTTGAAACAAAATTATCATCTCAAGTCTACATCCTTTTCAAATTTTTATCGCACTGTTCCTTGGAGGTCATATATTACTTTGTTAAAAAGTTAGGAGGTACACACCTATAATCCCAGCACTCACTCAGGAGGCTGAGGCAGAAGAATCACCTTAGGTTCAAGGCCACCCTGGGCTACCTAGCGAGTTGAAGGACAGCCTGAACTGCCTAACAGCAAGACCCAGTCTCAAAAACAAAAAAATTAGACAACTTTGTTACCTCCATTGACTTGATTGTTGTTTCGGAATTTGTACAAAGGCAAAGAATTTCCTTTATGCTCTTTGAAATTATAATTGCAAAATGCATTTTTTTCCTTAAAATATTTTTATCATTCATATTTGTTGGCCATTTGAAAACTCTGTCCTTTAATAATATGTAAGATAATTAAATTATAATTCAACAGAAAGATAGACTGCTTTTTAGTAAATGTGAATGTGGCTCCCACCTTGTAGAACTTTATTGTTTTAACAACCAACGAGCTGCATGGTTTTTATTAATTTTTATGTGCTCCCTAAAATAACACACAAGTATTTGATTTCATTTCACATTGTACCAACTTTTAGGACTCGTATACTAAATGCAGTTTTTCTCATTGTTTTTATATAAAGTAACCTTACAGGTTTTATAAATTGTTCTAATTTGGGTGGCAGTGTATGTATATTAATCCATTGTTTCCTTGTTTTGCATGATAAAGTTATTTTAGTCTCAGTGTATACAAGTGGAAATTAAAAGAAAACATTGCTGCCAGACACCCAGACACACACACACCCTCCCCGCCTGCTTTAAACGTACTCTGTAGGCCTCTGTTTCAGGTGCTAGTCTCTCATTGGTGTAGGAGGCTGAGGCAGGAGGATCACCTTAAGTTTGAGGCCAGCTAGGGCTACATAGCGAGTTAGAGGACAGCCTGAAAGGCACACAGAGTTCCTAAACAATTTCCTGGGGTAGGGTAGAGTCCTAAAACTTATTAGTCAGGTCTGTTTTCAGTCCATAAATTTGTAGAATGTCAGGTGGTTCTATGTTCCAGGCCATCCTGAGTTGGGGAAGCAGTATCACATGGAACATCAGACACTGTCAGGTCATTTCTACAGCTAAATTGTGAAGGCATTCTTGGATATTATTGCCAGTAGTAAATGCTTTAAAATATGATTTTCTGGGGGCTGGGGATTTAGCTCAGCGGCAAAAGCGCCTGCCTGGCATGCGCAAGGTCGTGAGTTCGGTTCCTGGTACCGGAGAAAAACCAAAAAATAAAAAAATAAAAAAATAAAATATGATTTTCTATTACAAAGTCATGTCTAGCTGGGCATATTGGCACACACCCATAATCCCATCTCCTTGATAGCTGAGACAGAAAGGTCACAATTGCAAGGTCACCCTGGGCAATCTAAGACCCTATCTTGGGAGGGGGAGAAGGGAAGAAAGGAACAATTTTCAACTTGCTTTTTTACTTCCGTTTTCATTTTGAACAGTAGGGGGCGCTGTTGTTACTATACACAATACTTTTTTGCTGTGTAATCTATTTCTCTTAGGAATTTAGTTTCAAATTTTATCAATTTCTCTTGTTTTCTTTATTGCTAGTTTAGTATTGTCAGTGAGACTTTTAAAATTCGTACTTCATAACATAAATTTGAAAGATACTAGCAATTAGATCTTTGTTTTAATGCATTTCAACTCCTTGATTATCAGTGGTACTAATTTATAAAATCTCTCTAGGAATTGGTAAAACAGAAGGTGAAACGACAGTTGACAAAACAGCAAAAGTCAGCTGTCAGACGTCGACTACAGAAAGGAGAAGCAAACATATTTACTAAGCAGCGGAGAGAAAACATGCAAAATATTAAATCAAGTTTGGAAGCAGCCAGCTTTTGGGGAGAATAATATATAGTTTAAGATATTGGATATTTCTGTCTTATATTTTTTCAAGTTACTGTAATTATTTTCAGCACCTTTGGTCTTTTTTTGACCAGCACCAGTACATAAGTTTGTAAATAAACCCATCCTTCTCTGTAAATTTGACTTTTCTCAATGTATAATGTGGTTAAACTTGACTGGGTCAGCTTGTCTTGAGAACTGCCCAGGGGATTGGCGAGGTGGACTTCTGGGTATGTCTGGGTGGGTGGTGGAGGCATGACTTTGATGTCCGTATCTTGTCCCTCACCCCTTCCTCTCTGATGTTGCTGCCCTGCTTTGCTTCCCTGCTGCCATGAACTGAGCAGCTTTGCTGCACTGTACCCTTCTGCCACGAAGTTTGTGCTTTGGAGCCTGCCGATCATGGACCAAATCCTCCGAAACCATGAGCCAAATCGAACCTCTTCTTTAAGTTGTGGGTATCAGCATGGTGTCCAGCAACAAGAAGGCCAAACAGAAAATTGGTACAAGCAGTGTGGTATTTGCTGAGACTGTGCCTGACCATGTGATTTAGAAGCCTTTGGAACTTGTTTGCAGGACAGGTTTGGAAAGGTGTGGAGACAGGGCTAGAGAAGCAATAGAATGCTGTGTGCAGAGCCAGATGGGTGATTCTCATCAGAGGTTAGAAGACCAGATGCATATAGATATGCAGACAGTAAAATACCAGGCTCAGGAAGTTTCATTTGGGAATAAGAATTTCATTGACAGTTGGCCTAGAGCCCATGTGTGTTACACTCTGGTAAAAAATTTGTCTACGTTTTGCCTGTGTCCTAAAACCTTGTGGGAGACTGAGATTAAGGGTAGTAGACTGATACGGCAGAGGAAATTTTAATGTAGTCCAACATTCAGGTAGTGGCATGGGAACTGCTGACTGCCTGTAGCCAGGTTTATGGTGTAAATTGATCAGAAAAGAGCAGAAAAATTTGAAGAACATAAATTTTGGTCTCAAAGCAAGCATATAAAGTTGAAGCCAAAGGAGGAGCTGTTGCTGAGGATATTAATGCCATTAAAAATAAACCAATTACCTTTTACAGGACCAAGAAAAAAAGATGGTATTGAGGGACATCTCAGAAATCAGCAAGACCACATCTAACAAAGACTCAAGAGTGTACATGCAAAAAACCTTTCCTTTGAGAAGAGAGTCCCTGGGACCCCTGCTCAAGAAGGTCCTCCTAGGGAATTGGTTCCCCAAGATTTATTTCACTATGCTTAGCTATCTAGGCACTTGGCAACCACTGCACTCATAATCCAAAGGACGCTGGTTCCTGCTGCTGACACCATGCCTTGGCATCATCCACATAATGGTGATTTTACCTGGATGCAGAATGTAATGGTTGTGGGCTCAGGTTTCCACCCATGTTTCAAAGGAAGGCCCTGGAGGCCAGGGAAGGAGTCACTGAGGGGTCATGTGTCACACTATGGGAATGAAAGCAAAGGTGGCGTGTAGACCCTGGGAACTTCAAGATGCCAGAAACATGGAACATCTACTAAGGAAAGCTGTAAATCATGAGTTGAACCAGCTCAAGAGGGGCTTTGTAGGCTACAAACAGCAAGGCCAAAGGGATAGGGCCACTCAAGTTCTCTGGACCTCTTATGGTGTGTCACCATCATGCATCTTGCATGCTGGATGCAGAGCTAAAAAACTTAATGGTCTTCAAGTTTTTTGTTGCATCCTGCGCAGCTCTTGAAGTTCTGAGGGGTTGGGAGGTGACAGGATGGAAAAAATAAGCTAAGAGACAAAAGCTTAGGTCTGGTGGAGCCCTCTAGTTGGGAGAAAGAAACTGCTCAACCACTATAGGGGCATTTATACATTTGACAAAGTTGGTGTCACATGACACAGCTTTGCCTAGCAACTGATTGTTTGGATTGGCCTGGGGCTTGGTGTTCTCTAGACTACAGCAGCTTGATCACTTGGCTTGCCTCAGGTACTCTGTTCTCTAATTGGCCTTGTCTCGCCCCCACAATATCCAGCTTTAGCTGCTCCCTACAGGTTTTAGTCTTACTTTGGTCCTATTCTTGTCTATTCCCTTATTCCTCCCTTTTGGAATGAGAACATTTACCCTGTGCTGTTATACCTCAGAATTACATAACTTGATTTTAGTTTTGTGGAGCTTCACACCTAAGAGTTTGCCTGGAGTTTCAGAAGAAGCTCTGACTTGGACTTTTGAAAAATGCTGGAACTCTTGAGATTTGAGGGAGGGATTATTATGTTCTCGATTATATGCAAGATAGTTGTCACATGTTGGGCAGCATTACCAACTTGTTATTGTGTTTATTTGGAGACTGGACTAAAGAGTCTGGTGTCAAGTTTATAGGGTGAAATATGGTGGTTATGCTTGATTGGGTCGACTGGATTGGTTTGGGAACTGCCCAGGTTGATGAGGCAGACTTCTGGGCATCTTTGGGTGACTCATGAAAACATGACCTGAGTCATGGGTCTGTATCTGGTCCCTTCCCTTCTCTGATGCTGCTCCTCTACTCTGTTTCTTAACCTCCATGAACTAAACATCTTCGCTCTGCTAGACTCGTGCACCATGGTATTCCTGCCTTGGAGCCTCTTACCGGGGACTAGACCACCTAAGCCAAATCTCTCCTTCTTCAAGCTGTGGATAAAAAAGGTATTGTGTCCAGCAAAAGGAAAGCTAATATATATCCTCAAAAGAATTATAGGAATTCAGCAAAGGCAATCCATTTTTTTATTTAGAAGACAGGTAAATCTGATCATTATTTTTCAAAAAATACTTTATTGGGGTATTTGCATACAGTATTTCTAAAAATCTCAATTACTGCTTTTTGTAGTTTTTGCTCTCTGCCAAGAATAGATAAATTACCTGGGTTCAAATTCCAGCTTTTTCACTTACTAGCTGAAACAACTTAAAGTAAGGTATAGTTCTCCATTCCTCTTCCCTGACTTTCTTACCGTAAAAATTGGATTCACAGCTACTTTGTACAGTTGTTTTGAGGACTACATAAAATAATGCACCTAAAGCCATAAGACCAGTGCCTAGCACATTATAAGCATTTAATAAAGCATTAACTATCAGAATGATAATTATAATGACATTTGTATTTCTGAAATTCTGCGAACTCAATTCCTTTTATTTGGCCATTGGAAATGTTAACTGTCTTTTTGCTTTTAATCTTTAGAAGTAAGACTAACAATAGTGCATAATTTACTTCATCAGTTAATTAATGGATTACCACATAATCTCCTTACCTCAGCTGTGTGGTCCCAGGAACAGAATCTTGACATAGTCTCACCATGGTTTTTACAATTGGCAGCTTTACATAGGACTGAGTAGAAGTGGAAGAATTTGGGGCAGGAACTGGTAGAGGGAATGAGTGAAATGTTCTTCCTCATTTTCTTATATGGGTGAGTCTAGAACATGTTTTCACCTCAGCATTAACAAGTACTTACTGCAGGAAATAAAATTCCTGCAATGGTCCCTTCTTTAGGGACTTTATGATTCAGTGAGACACAAAGATGGGTGCATAAGTACATACACGGGATGATAAGTCTTTTCAGCGTCCTTGAGTAGAGTACAGGGTGACCGCCTGTGGAGAAGGTGACCACTAGGTGGCAGTGTCACCCATGAGATTTCCTTAAATTATTGCTTCTGTGATTATGACAGAGGGAATATTGTAGATGCTTTTCCAAGATTGATAGACATTGAGTTCTTTCACCTTTGCAAAATTAACTATGCTGGCTATTTGTAATGTAATTATCCAGTAAGTTCATTCGACTATATAGATACAAAAAAGTATCAGATTCAGTTTCTGAAAATTAGGCTCATTTTGGAAATATATAGACCTACTTTAAGTTTTACATATGCTTTTAAGCTCAGGCATTCACTTTTATACTGTGAGCATTTTATAACCTAAAGTAACATTAAAAGCAGCTTAATTGAACCACAGAATGTTTATTTTGGAATACATTTTCTTATATTCAGAGTGTTGAAAGTAATTGGGAATAAAATGATTATGATGTCATCCTGCTTGGCCTCACTAAGTTGACTGAGTCAACTTGTGGGGACCCAGTGCATGAAAAGCTTGTTGCTGTTAGAAAAGCAGAGAAGGCAAATATGCACGGGTGTTAATCTTAATAGCTTGCTGTTTCATGTGGGCCACAAAACAAACTCCCATCTGAAATGGAGGCCTCATTTGGACAAAGATTAGTTGTAGCTACTGAAGACTTAGTAACAAGTGATATATTTAGGAATTTAATTTTCTTCTGAGTTATGTGTGTTTGATAACTAGGGTCCAATCACAATAGTTATTTGAAAAGATGTGTTGGGGTAGTAATTAATTAGAAGTTAGAGAATTTGCCCTATCAGACAACTCTCACATTTTAAAATATCTGTAGTAAACCATAAGCAAAAACAAAATGGAAGTCTACTCAGTGTACCAAATCTGAATTTATGATTTTAAACCTATGCAGGCTTGAGGGTATAGCTCAGATAGAGGGCTTGCCTGGCATGCACAGGGCCGTAAGTTTCTTCTACAGCACGTCAAATTAGATAGATAGATAGATAGATAGATAGATAGATAGATAGATAATAGGTAGGTAGGTAGATAATAGGTAGATAGATAATAGGTAGATAGGTAAATAGTGATAGATAATATGTAGGTAGGTAGGTAGATAATAGGTAGATAGATGATAGATAATAGGTAGATAGATTGATAGATAAATAGATAATAGATACAAGATAGATAGATAATAGGTAGGTAAATAGGTAGACAGATAGATAGACAGGCAGACAGACATCCAGAATTCTCAATTTGAATCCCGGTTCGACCACTTAAATCTCATGTATCGGGGCTGGGGATTTAGCTCAGCAGCAAAAGCGCCTGCCTGGCAAGCGCAAGGTCGTGAGTTTGGTTCCTGGTACCGGAGAAAAACCAAAAAACAAAAAAAAAAAAAAAAAAAAAAAAAAAATCATGTATCTTCTGTAGCTTTTCTAACTTAGCATTTCCAGCTTGTGCACGGGAGAAGCTGCACAGTGCCTGTCAGGGGTGTCGTGAGGAGCACATGAAACACCTTAGTGTCTGCTGTACACTTTAGTAAAGTGACATGGCTTCTTCAGGTTGCCAAAAGAAAGGTTGCACAGCCCCTTTCCTGGTCTCTGAGACGATACCCAACACCTACACCTTGAGAAGAGGTTGATTGTGCCTCACAGTTTAGAGAGGTCTCCATCTATAGCCAGCTGTCTCCGGGGCAGAGGCAGCATGGTGGAAGGGCATACCACGAAGGCAGAAAGCTGTTCAATTTATGGAACCGGAAGGAGTGTTTAAGGGAGGAGCCGGAAAGGGAGAGGCACCCTCCCAGGTCATGGCCAGAGTGACCCACCTCTCCAGACCAGAGCCACCCTAATAACCAGCCACCTTTCCAAAGCCCACCTGTGAGTGCAGGAGGCACTGGGGCTCATCTAGATACAGACACAACACAGAGAAACCATCTTTCTTATCTTTAGGGTCACTGTTACTTGAACCACAGTTTTTGTTGCGTATCTATCAAGACTCCCAGTCCAAGCGTCGCTCGGTGACAGCACATGTGAGGGCCTGGGTTCAGTGCCCACCAACCTCAAACACAAACTAAACAGGTGCTATGCTGGTCGCCTTTGTGCAGTCCACTTAGTCTCTGCATTAAGGATTTTACTACAAAATTCTCGCTTATATTCTGTACTGGTAGCCATCACTTTGTATTGGTGGGTATTGAACTGTTCCTCAACACACAGCTGTCTGAGCATTCCCCAAAATCATAAAAATGTTCCAAGGGTACAATCAGAGAATTAAAACACCCTAAGAGAACTGTTTTGGCCAAATACTTAGTAAATTTTCTGGCAAAATAAATATCTGCCCAATTAAAGAGCCTTATTGATGCTGCCCTCCAGGTTCACCTGTCACTCACAAAGAAGAGGGGAAGAGTTCATTAGTCTTTGGTCTAGCTCTTCCTGAGTGATAGGGTTATTTCACTGTCACATACTCAATATTCTGAGTGTGCAGAGGGTCACCATGCATGTACTTCAGCCACAGAACATCTGGAGAGCATCAGACTATATCTCAGTTTGCCCTTGGTTTGCTTTATAAAGTACTGGAGTTATCTTACACCACTGCAGAAGGAGCTGGAGATGACAGAAGTTCGTGACAACCATGCATTCGTTACACAGCTGTATTATAGCCAGTAGCATGGCCATAACTCCAAGACATACAACTCTTAAAGAAAACTATCATTTTCAAAGACATGTATGTTGTTATAAGGTGAAGATTTTCTTTTACTTCAATGTAAATAAGGATGGCATTGAAATTAATACTTACATATTTAGAGTCAAATAATTACAGGGTCAATTCCTTTGAAGTAATTGAGACACATAGCACAACATACGCTTCCCTTAAAAGAGGGGGGATTACATTTTTTAATCAACCTCTTGAAATAAATGAATTAAAAATCAAGAACAAAATAAAACAAAACTGCTTGCTATAATTCTGCTATTGACAAAAAATTGGCCTAGACAAGAAGAAAAATACATGTTCTTTACACATCAGTTTTCCAACTGTTTGGTAGTGTGGGAAGTTGTAAGGGGGGAGGGTACACAGGGTCATTCATATGGTACCCCTCCACACAAAACACAGGTTTTTAAGGTGCAGGTTTTTTGCTAGCTGAAAATCTCCATGGTATTTGTTAAGACAGAAATAAATCCACAGAACAACTGTAAAAGACAGTCTAATTAGTTAGCTTATAAGTAGGCAGCCCATAAGAGACAGGGCCTAAGATACAGTCAGGTGGTTACAAAGAAAATAGCATAGACACGGAGTTAAGAACTAATTCAAGCCATACAGTCAAACTTAGAAATGTAAATGCCAACACAGGAAAATGGATAAAAAGCTAAGAACCCTAACTCCCAGGAAAGAAAACTTCTTAGATAGA